TTATTACATCATCAGGTTTCCTAGAAATCATGTGACAACCGGCTGAAATATCCTGTTTTTAACACCTATTGAAAGTATTGTAACATCCAGTTTATATCCACAAAATTTTGTTATACAAGACCCCATGTTTCCTAGCAACTATCTAAAAATGACCCATTTTTTCCATTTCTACAACACTTTATAACAGTATTATATCATTTTTATTTTAGAACAACATTTATATCCACGAAACATCAATTATATGTGATCATTTCAGATGTCATCATGTTTTCTGACATCTACCTATAGCAACAGGCTAAAATCGCTTGTACTTTTAAATTTATATAAGCACCTTACAAACCCATCAAATTATTTTCATTTCACAACCAACAGCACTAAGAGGCCAAACAACACTCACGCTTGTCTAATAAATTTACAGAGTACAGCGTAATACCATGAAACTCTTGGCTGTAAATGTCAAAAACAGCCAAAAACACACCTGGTATGCATTGGTTAAAATGACATTTGGTAGGTGGGGGAACAGTAGGTGCACGTTTAATGGTGCAGCATGAAAAAGTTGTCTCAACTTGTGAGTTCTAGTAGATTTGTTTTCAGTAGATTTGTGCAAAAAAGGCTTTGATCAGCTCACCTGCGCTGATGTTGGTGCTCTGAAGGTTCACTGATCTTTATGGATTTAGCCAGCTGCAGTATATAAGCAGATGTTACATGAGCTGTTATGGTTGCTTTCCATAATTTCTACCTTCAAAACACCAGCATTGCAGCTGCCAAGAGGCTAATGACTTCTGCATTACTGGGTTGCTACATCCATCTTTTCTATTGTTTGTCACTATTTGTCACTGCCCCCTTTATGCTTTCAATTTCATTTTCATGAGTTTACGCTTATATCAAGTGGTGTCCATTAGTCAGCAGGAAGCGCAATGCAGTGCACACATAGGTCTGAGCAAATACAAACAACACATAAAAACTACAGCAGGATAGGAGGTAAGTTTTGGTGATATAGTGAGGATAGTGAAGAGAGAGGAAAAGAGAGAGAGAAAGAGACAACAAAAAGGCCTAAAAGAGTCCAAACTGTTGCATTATTTAAAATACTCCAGAAATCCTTAAATTCTTACTCTGTCTTTGAATCTGAATGTTTTGTTTATGTATAGATAAGATTTTTTTCCTGATTAATTCTTGTGTTCTCTTCTCTAACACTTTTTCTTATCAACTCTGTTTTTCTTTAAATCTCCGTGGGTGATGTGACTAAGGCTATTATCGTAATCGAAAAGACTAAAAGCCTTAATGTCAACAGAGTAAGTCTGACTGAAGCACACGCGCTTAATATTTAAAATTTAAAAAGCTTACTGGAGTCGTTCAGCTTGCAGGCCAAAAGTCAGACCAAGAGTTGTCTCGTCAATTTTGTATGATAAAGTCAGACAGGAAGCACGGCGAGATAGCCATCGTTTCTGAACAAGTAGGAACTAAGAAGCGATGATGGTTGCGTGTGGTTGTGGTTGAATGCTGGTGTCAGCAAGAAAAGCTAGAAACAGCCATCTGCAGCCTGAGGTTCTTGTGCAACTTGATTATGAAGGCGTGGCTGCGCGTGCACTTGATTGATTGCGGTAAATGAGGGAGGTGTTTCCTCTTGAAATTCAAAAATCATTAAACAAAAATGGGGGAGGCAGGAAAACATATGGAGGCACATCTGGGGCACATTCGCAACTGAAATAGGTGTTTGCTGTGTTTTTAATACCTATAAACTTCAACCAAGGCTCCAAGGGTCAACTTTCCAATCCATGAATGACTGAAAATTTCAACCCAATTTCAGTTTAACAAGTATTTCTCCTCTATAACTGAAAGAAGGGCCGCAAGCTTCATTTTTCCACGTTATATTTCAATAAAATGCTTCTCGGACTGAGACTGCTTCCTAAACTGGTGAGCCAAATCCCCCCTAAACTCAGATTTAAGGTGAGCTCTGAGCAGCTATCAACTCCCTGCAGATAAGCTTCAACCTCTGAATACGTGTCACTCGCCACAGCAACGCTCAGGCGTTCAAGAGAAATATCTCAGGCCACAGACTCATGAGAGGTGTTCACATTTTCATCTTATTGCAAAAACAAACACAAAAGACCCGATTTATCATTCAAGTATGAAGACATTAAGAGCAAAAATAAGAATCTTTCATACTCCAGACCATTTTTTTCTTTTTTTGTCCAAGATAATCAATCAAAACGTGTTAAACACAAATAGTTTAGAACCTCAAAGGAAAACTCCAAATAGAATAAATGAAAGTTTTCTCTTTGCTTTTTAACCAAGTTAGCAACAGTTGCAAACCTTCACCAGCGTGATAACGAGCTTCTGCTTCTGACGAAGAAGTCAAAGTCACAGTTGACACGTGGGGCCAAATCCCCAACGCTTTAAAGGGATTTGGCCACTTTGTGGAGCTAATAACATGCCAGAGTGGGATTCACAAATCAAGAAGACAAGCACAAAATATGATTGAGCTGTGCACGTATCCGTGACTGGTGCGGCGGTGAAGCGAGTCAGAGGCAGATGGGGTAACGACAGGCAGACAGGCTATGCTAGTAGGGAAATGAGAGATGGCAGATGGACAGATGCAGATATGCTAGTGTGAGAGGGAAGTGATGCAGCTGTCTGGTAATGTCTGAGAGGCAGGAAAAGCAGGCATGGAGAAATATATTTGCACTATTAACTTTTAAGATTTAGCTGGACCTGGTTTTTGCCTGCTGAAGCCAAGTGATGCTCCAAAGCAGATGGCAGAGGCCCTCGGTTTTCAAGTCGTAAAGAAATGATCAACGATCATTTCGCCCACGCTCTCGCAATTCACACATCTGCAGTTTCGTAATTGCCACTGAAATCAGTGCAGCTCAAACTCTCTTTTGCAGTCAGAGGCACTTTGGCAGGTTTGCACTTCTGGTTTGCCAGTTTTTATCTCTCTCCTTGTTGCTCCAGTTAAATTGAAGGCAAGTCAAAACTCTGTGTAATCTGGAGTATTTCGCCAAACGCTGAAACCATCAACATTTTTTCTTGTGGGAGAAAAACAAGATATGAGTGTTTTTCCAGTCTTCGAGCTGAGAGGCATTGATGTGAAGCAACACTGATAAAAAACAAACAAACCCAAACATCTTAAACTACTGATTGTGAACCAGTGATCCAACCAGTGATCCCAATCTGAATATGATGCCAACTTCTCGGTTTGGTGTTAAAATACGTTATGGCAAATGGAGCAGGATAACAGAAATGAAAAGAGTCACCTGCACCATGTCTTCTTTCAGCTCAGCATGAGTCTGTACTGCAAAGCACTGCTACTTAACTATGTATGTTTCTCCCCCACCTGCTCCAGGTTCAGAGCCTGGGTCAATACCCTGTGCTCTTTTGGATGACCTTGAGTTATTCCCTGGCAGTTTTTGAGGGGTAAAAGTGTGTGCCGCCTTGCTGGGGGAGGCTGCAAACACTGTGGAGTGACATTGCCATTCAGGATGGCTGAGCACGGTCTGCGCAATGGTTAAGGGATTGGTGCATGTTACAGTAACATCCGCATGACTGCAAAGACCTGAGGGTAACCCCAGCAAGTCGTCACATATTAATGAAATGATTGCTCGTGTCACCTGTTAAGTAGTTTTAATGTGTTATTTACAAAATACAAGCTGTGAGTCGGAGTCTCCATGGTGATGTTTGCAGATTACATTATGGTCTGTAGTGAGAGAAGGTGGATGAGTTTAAATAGCTGGGGTCAACCACCCAAAGCAACAGACAGTGCACAAGAGAGAGGAAGGAGAGAGCAGGCAGGGTGGAGTGGGTGAAGACGAGTGTCGGGAGTGACTTGTACGATAGTGGACATATTGGACAAAGGATGCAAAGTATCCAAAATAAGAAGAAGAAGAAGAAGAAGAAGAAAAATGACCTTCTGGGGAATATATGTAGCTCTTTATGTACTAAATACTTCACTTTGTAAAGCTGTTTGCGTACTTTTTCAAGTATCTATTTACTTCTGGTCAGGGAGTATACACATACACAGACTATTACATCATCATTATATTAAAGTTATGAGTCATAAAGACATATTAATGACCTGAAAGATACTAAAAAGTCCATAGTGCTGACCAACGGAGGATATTGATGCTGATTGTGCTTTGCTGTTATTAAGTTTCCTTGAACTAAAACACGCTGCTGTGCCATTAATTATCCTAATCTGAACCAAGTTGCACTGCATTACACAGAGTTGTAGCAGGCTGCAGGATGCCTGCAGTGACTAAAATGTTTGTGTTGCACTGTGTGACAGAAAAATGTAACGACCGGGATGAATGAAATAAAGCACTTTGTACTTAAGCATGCGGGATTGCATAACTAATAGTAAATAATTAGGTGGACGTATCAGGGAAAAGATAATCAACCACTTGATACATGCATGGAGGTCAAAGTAGTCATTTAAACATTAAAGTAACGTCATAAAAGTATTTTGCCTTTATTGTCTGCAGTGACATAACATGACATATTTTCCTTGTCATGCCACTGAGACTGTTTTTCTCTGCTTGTAGAACAGATAATGAAGGCTTATTTTAGTCGAAGAGCCAAGGAACAACTGATTTAATTATTAATTTTTTGAAACCACAGCTATGAAACTGACAGAGGTGGAGACTTCATGCATTTCCAAAATTTTCAGGCCAAGAAAGAAACATTTCACAAATGAATAATTTTACAGGAATGATGGATTTGGGCGTTACTGCAAGGGAGAAATATTTGGGAATGCTGGCAGAACAAGTTCAGCCGAGTGTAATGACAGCGCAATAACAACACAGATGATAAAGAAGGAGCAGCAGCAGCTGGGGGCATGTGATCGATTAAAAAAAAAAAACAACTAAAAGGCCTTCAACAATGCTCTCTAATCTCTGACTGCACATCTTGCTCCTTTACAGCTGCACCATGCAAAGAGGAGTTTAAAAGGTGAGTGCCTGCAGCAAACACACACACAGTTAGAGAGGTCCATGTGCGTTACCTACCACATAGTAGAAATGCATGTCTGCGCGCGCAGGTCGGTCTCATAAGTGCTGGAAGCGTGCAGGTGGGCGGCGTCCATCCAGCAGCGGCATTAGCCAGCAGTGCGCGTCTGTCCCAGGTACAGATACTCTAAACTGGATGCTTCTGCTCCCTTTCCTCTTTCCCAATGTTGCTCCTGACCCCTCTCTCTTTCTCTCTTCCCTCCTGCACTTGACGTTTACTCCTCCCCCTCCTTGTTTTTCTCCTCCCCACAAGACTTCAGTGCCTCCCCCCTCTCTCTTTCTCTCTCTTTTTTTTTGGTTCCACTTCCTCTCTTTTATTTTTTCTTTCCTCGCTTTTCCAGTGTAATTACTTCCCCGCCCCCAATCCACCACCTTTATTTTCTATCTTTCTTTTTTCCAGCATCATTATTTAATTTTCTTTTTCAGATCATGTGTCTTTTTTTTTTAACAGTTTTGTAAATGTTTTAGTCAGTAAAGCAGGGGGAGAAGTCGCTCTGTCTCTCTGGGCGTCTCTGTGCTGATTGCAGATTGGTGTCAGTTCTT